GCTTAGTACATGATTGTCCCTTTATGTGATTAACTTGATCCGTATCTTAAGGTGGGTAGGAACATGGCTTTAAGTCCTTGGTATCCAACAAAGTAAATTACATGTGATAAGCCACACCTAAATCTGTGAAGACTTTAGTGATTCAAACTGGAAGAATGTGATTTTTGTATTGCAGTTAGGTGTGGTACAACTTTTTATTTATTATTCCATATTTTAGGGACACATTCTAGGTAGAGTACTATCACTAGGCTTCTTTGCTGGTTCACAATTACGTTCTGTGTGTTTTCACAAAATAATTCTCTGCTATCCGATAAAATAATCTGAACTTTTCCATAATTATACAGAGAATACAATTCAGAATTAATAGAAAATGAGATATAAATCTGAGAAAAGAATATCTAAACCATAAAGGCCCCATGCAATATGAACTGGACACAGAATTTGAGAAACTGATAGTGTTGGCATTGCTCACGTGCTAAGAAAAGCCGCCTCTGATTCTTAGGATGCTTCTTTAATGGTTTCCTTGATGCCAATCAAAAGGCATTGTGCTTCTTTGTGTATTCTGTTTTTTCCTCCGTAACTGATTTTATGGAAAGAAAAAGGACAGAAGCAGCCCTGAAAAAACATGGTATGTTTGAAGTTGAGGATGACAATGTCTGTACCCCTGAAAATTCCTTGAAAAAGGCAGGTAAAAACCTCATTGTAAGAACCCTTAAAAATGGGAACACTCTTTCCTCTGTATACAACATCCAGCCAATTTGCTAACGGGTCCACATAGAAGAAGGAGGGACAGATGGTTGACACCTGTCCCCCCTTCTGGTTATTCCCCCAGCTGGAAGGTTCCGGGTATGCTTCTCAGCCGCCCCTCAGGCCTGACGGTGCTGTTACTTAATGCCAGGTTGGTCCATAATAAAACATCCCTCATCCATGACTTAATTGTGGATGAGGGGGCCGACCTGGCTTGCATCACAGAGACCTGGGTGGGGGGGGGGATGTATCCCTCTCTCAATTGTGCCCACCCGGGTTTCTGGTTCAGCATTGGCCACGCCTTGCGGGGAGGGGAGGGAGGTCGCTTTAGTTCATCGAGCCTCTCTTTCCCTTGCGGGGCTTCCTGTTCTCTCGAGACCAGGTTTAGAGTGCCTCTACTTGGTGTTGGGTGACCGAGACAGATTGGGGATTCTGTTGGTGTACCATGCACCCTTCTGCCCAACAGACTCCCTGCCTGAGCTGACGGAGATCGTCTCGGACCTGGTGTTGAAGACTCCCAGGATGTTGGTCCTGGGGGACTTCAATCTCCATGCTGAGACTGCTCTGACCCGGGCGGCTCAGGACTTCATGGCCTCCATGACAGCCATGGGGCTGTCTCAACATGTCACTGGCCCAACCCATGAATGTGGACACACGCTGGACCTGGTTTTCTCGACGGGACAGAAAGAGGGTGATCTGAGGGTGAGGAATTTGTGACTGACTCCCCTGTAATGGTCAGACCACTTCCTCGTGAGGTTTGAGCTCAATGGCGGCCTTTCCCTCTGTAAGGGTGCGGATCCTATTGTATGGGTCCACCCTTGGAGCCGGATGGATCCGGATGGATTCCTGAAAGCTCTGGGGGAGTTTCCGGTTGATAAAGCTGGCGTTCCTGTTGATGCCCTGGTCGAACTGTGGAATGGGGAAATGACAAGAGCTATTGACACGATTGCTCCTAAGCGTCCTCTCCCACTGGGCAGAGCCCATTCATCCCCTTGGTACACACCTGAATTACGGGCGATGAAGCAGGTTGGGAGACGGCTAGAGCGTAGGTGAAGAAAATCATGGGATGAATCTGACTGAACATACTTAAGAGCCCATTATCAGGCCTATGCTGTGGCAGTGAGGGCGGCGAAGAAGAAATTCTTCTCCACTTCCATTGCCTCCTCACAGTGCCGTCCAGCAGAACTTTTTTGGGTGGTACAGGGGCTGGTACAGCCAGGCCCCAAGAAAGATCCTGTACCACCCTCGATAACCCACTGTGATGACTTTGCCCACCACTTCAAGGAGAAGGTCGCTCAGATTCGTCACAAGCTGGACTCCACTAGTGACTCAGATTCCTTAGGGGAGGTGCCAATGTTACCGTCTGGTCACACATTGTTGGATGAGTTTCAGTTATTGCAGCCTGATGATGTGGACATGGTGCTTGGACAAGTACGTACCACCTGTGTACTGGACCCCTGCCCATCGTGGCTACTATCCAAAGCCAAACACGGGTTTGGTTCCTGGATCCGGGAGGTCATCAACACCTCTTTGAAGGACAGCCGGGTGCCTGCCCCTCTAAAGGAGGTGGTGGTCAGGCCGGTCCTAAAGAAGGCGTCCCTGGATCCAGAGATGGCCGTCAGTTATAGACCAGTGGCCAACATCCTGTTTTTGGGCAAGGTACTGGAGCAGGTGGTGGCGGGACAACTCCAAGCTCTCTTGGATGAGACTGATCATCTGGACCCAATTCAGTCCAGCTTCAGACCAGGGTATGGTACTGAATCTGCCTTGATTGCTCTGTATGATGACCTGTGCAGGGAGAGAGACAGTGGAAGTGTGTTCCTGTTGGTTCTCCTGGACCTCTCAGTGGCTTTCGATACCATCGACCATGGTATCCTTCTGGATAGGCTAAGGGGGCTGAGAGTAGGAGGCACTGCTTGGCAGTGGTTCCGCTCCTATCTCAATGGCTGATTCCAGAAGGTTGTGCTGGGGGACTTTACCTCTGCGTCATGGCAGTTATGCCATGGAGTTCTGCAGGGGTCTATTCTGTCCCCCTTGCTCTTCAACATCTACATGAAACTGCTGGGAGAGGACATCCAGAGGTGTGGGCTGTGGAATCATCAGTACACTGATGATACCCAGCTCTACCTCTCTTTTTCAACCAATCCAGATGAGGTAGTGGCTGTACTGAACCAGTGCCTGGCTGAGGTAATGGGCTGGATGAGGGCCAATAAACTGAAGCTCAATCCAGACAAGATGGAGGTCCTGCTGGTAGGTGGTTCGAGCTCCTGGGTAGGTGACTTGGATCTTGTCCTCAATGGGGTTGCACTCCCTCTAAAGGAGAGGGTCCACAGCTTGGGAGTGCTCCTTGACCCGGAGCTGACTTTGGAAGCTCAAGTTTCGGCGGTGGCGAGGAGCGCTTTCCATCAGCTTCAGCTGATCCATCAGCTGCGTCCCTACCTGGAGGACTACTGCCTAGCGACAGTGATGCATGCATTGGTTACTTCCCAGTTGGATTTCTGTAACGCGCTCTTGGTGGGGCTGCCCGGATACTTCAGATGGTGCAAAATAGAGCATCCAGGTTGCTGACGAGAACTGGGCGTTATTCTCATATAACCCCAGTCCTCTACCAGCTTCACTGGCTTCCCATCGAAGTCCAGGCTCAATTCAAGGTGTTGGTAATTACTTATAAAGTCCTTAATGGCTTGGGACCTGGATACTTGAAGGAACGTCCGTGGCCATATTTGCCCTCCCGCCCCTTGAGATCGGCAGCAGGGCCTCTCCTCTGGGAGCCTTCCGTAAGAGTTATCAGGAAGCAAAGTACCCGAAGGAGGGCCTTCTTTGCGGTGGTGCCCCATCTGTGGAATGCACTCCCCAGAGATGTCTGCCTGGCGCCGTCATTATTTGTTTTTTGGTGCCAGGCCAAGACCTTTTTATTTAAACAGTATTTTAATAATCTTTAATATTTATAGTTTTAATTATGCAGCCAGTGTGTTTCCAAGTTTTAATTGTAATTGTAATTTTATTTGTTTTATTTATTTGTGTTGTGAGCCCTCCCGAGGCTGTGTAGCAATGGGGACATCATATAAAAACTTTAAATAAATAAAATAATTTTTCAGTTATGTGCTGTGTGCACTAGAGTGGTAATGCAGGTATTAATGGTGACAATGTTTGAAAGTGTTCCCAGGAAATCTGTTTTAAAATGTTTTGAATGTAGATGAGAATGTACAGATAGATTCCTCCCCCTACTCACCCCCCCCAGTAGATGAGACCAAAGCACAAAGAAAAGATAATGAACATTGTAGATGAAGTTAATTTTCAGTTGCCATGGTTCAATCAGAAAGAATTTGAATGACAGAAAGCTAGAGAAATTTGGTTGAAGGTTTTCCTCCCAGGGCAAGCACACTTTGGTAGCCCTGGGAGGAAAATTATGCGCTCAGTGTTATGCACTGCTTTAAAATGGCAGAAACCTGAAATGCCACTTGGGAGGGACAGGTACGTAGGGATGGGGAGTCAGGGACACATTGCAAGTTGTGCTTTCCAGTAAAAGTCTTTAAAAGTGCCACATTCCTCTCTGTGGTTTCCATGCATGATGTTAAAATGGGGTAAGTGTTAAAAATAGCTTTGTCTATAATACAGGGCTGGGTATATATCTCTTGCTGGACCACAGCTTCCATTAGCTGTAGCCAGAATAATGATGAGGGACATCGGAAGATGTAGTTCCTCAACATCTGGAAGACCACCTGTCCTCTATGCAGGCTTCTTTCCTATCCCCACATATACTTATGGAGGCAGATGTAAGAGAACTGGGACCAACTGTAAGCCCCCACTTGCATTTTTTGGCTTTGCTTTTGTAGTGGATACCACCGAAAAGCACGATGTAGCTGCTCCTCATGCTGTGGAAAGAGGTATGATTTGGCCCTAAGAGATATTATTTCCATTTGAACTACAAGTATTAAAAATTGAGAGAGTTTTCTCCCCGTGCAGCCCAGTTACATAAAACAGTTGCACTAATTTTCTACTGTGTTCACCTTTAAAAAGATAGTTGGGGTGCTGGCACTTGCCCTCCCCTCTCCCCGACACACACACAGAAATCCCCGCTCTCTGACAGGTCATTGGAGAATACCTTTCCTGACAGTTGTATTCATGGTTGGCTGCGCACAGAATAGGGCCATGAGATTTTCTACAAGATTCTGGGGCCTGAAGTAGGTTTTGACATGTTGGTCACATAGTCTGAAAGAACAAAAATATTATCGATGTTGTCTTTGGTACAGATGAGTCATGTGACGACAGAGTATTGTCTGGACATCATAAGGAAATTTGAAGTTTCTGAAGAAAACAAGACTCAAAATGTTCTGGGCATAGAAGGTAACAACTTTCTGAATTTTTGTATGTGTGTTTATCTAAATGACATTTTAGATTGCTGTCTTACAGCAAAGGTATTAGCAGCTTTGTCTTTGAGAAGATTTAACATATAAAAAGATTGAAATGTGAGATCAAGCTACTGGCATTTTAATTCCTAGGGAAAACATGCTTGAGAATATGAATAAGGAAGAAATGGATGTTAACAGTGCTATTGACAGTAAGAGTTTATTTAGCTATTGTTGTAAGCCGCCCCGAGGTTTCGGCAAGGGGCGGCATA